CGAAACGAAACCCGGCGCAAGCCGACCCCGCGGCGAAAGCCAACCCCAGCGAAAGCCAACCCCGGCGAAAGCCAACCGCCCCCGATGCAGTGTCCGATCGTTTATCGAACCCCACATGGCCCGACAGCAGCAGCCTCGCGCGCCCAGCACGGGCTACACGTTGCTGCGACTGGACCTGCCACTCCTCCTGCGACGACGACGATGACGACGACGACGACGATCACGACGACGACGACGACGACAACCCCTGGACCTGTCCTGAGGCACGTTCGGACCAGAATGCCGGGGCCGATCCAGCCGTGGCCACGAGGGCGCAACCAGGGGCCCAGAAAGGCCAAGGGCACCAACAGAAAACATTCAGAATCGTCCGAAAGATCGAGCCCCGATCTTCGCCCCGCTCCTCGCCCCTCCTCTTCCCTCCTTTTCCCCCTCTCCTCTTCCCTCCTCTTCCTCCTTTCCCCCCCACCTCTTCCTCCTTTCCCCCCCTCATCTTCCTCCTTTCTTCCCCTCCTCTTCATCCTTTCCCCCCCTCCGCTTCCCCCCCTCGTCTGCCTCCTTTCCCCCCCTCCTCTTCCTCCTTCGCCCCTCCTCTTCCCTCCTTTTCCCCCCCTCCTCCCCACGGGAAGCCGCGGAAGGACGCGGGGAATGGCCTTCGCAGGGGGGATCCCGGAATCCCCTGCTGGTCGACCCGACGGGACGGGGGGGATCGGACGGGCCTAGACCCAGACCCCCTCGAGTCATTAAAAAATCACGACGGGAGGTTTTTCGCTATCTTCAGCCTCTGCGGTGCCAGAGATGATTCAGGGTGAAAAGCCAGTCCCGGGGAAGGAGTCGAGACTTCTGGGCGGCGACGTCATCAAAAAATCATGACGTTGGAGGTCTGGCTTCGCAGCAGGGGAGCGATAATTCGAGGCTCGAGGTCGTGCGAGAGTATTCGAGAGTTTTGACCGGTCCTCGGTGGTCGACATCGTCCGAGCGGCAGCTCGTAGCGGGGGGGCGGTAAATTCGGGAGCGATTGTCGGTGGTCTTCCAGTCATGGGGAAGGGTCCAGACCTCTAGGTGTCGACGCTATGACAAAAATCATGACGTCGGGGGCCTGGGGGCGCGGTCGGACGGGCCTAGAATCGAGATGCATCAGGCGCAGAGCACTCTGGAACGCTCTCAGAGCGATCCGGAGCGCTCTGAAACGGCCGCGGCGCCCGATACATCTTCCAAGCCCACCGATTCTCAGAGATTTCCGATTTATATCGGTCCAATTCGGTCTCGATTCTGTCTTGCCAGCGCCCCAGGGGTTCTGCGCTTTGGGGTCGTCGATGCTTCCCCCTCGGCATTGTCTTTTTTCTCTTCCCCCTCGTTCCCTCGTCGTCCTCCAGGCCGCTCCGGAGCTGGAGAGATACTGTCCGTTGCTTAGGAGAAGCCCGCACAGAACACAGGCAGCATGTGGGTGGATAGAGAAGAAGAGCACTGGGTCTGGCTTGGAGAATGAAAAGCAGCAGCAACAATAACGACAACAACCATTTGAAGACTGTTCGCTCTGATCTGCTCGCGCGTCATTCAACACGTATATCCCAAACCCTCAATATTTGCCCTCTTCGTCTTCGACCGTACCCCCGTGTATTTCGTGCAGCCGCTGAGGCATGGTAAGAGAGGACGTATGGAAGGAAGGGACAAGGGGGAAGGAGGAGGATGGAGCACGAGAGAGTAGCAGGAGTGGGGCTCGGAGCAGAAAACACGTGGAAGAACCAGACGGGCAGATCGGGCGGGTAGACCCTAACGGGCGGGTCGGGAAGGCGGGCCCAGGCGGCCAAGTCCAGCAGGCGGCAATAGCGCGATTCCCAAGTAAATCGTCTGGAAATCCACAGCGAGAGCGTGATTCCTGAGTGTCGAGGGCGCGGCGTTTGAATCAGTTGCGAGGAGGTCCCACGCGAGAGCGCGATTCCTGCATACATTCTGAGGAAATCCCGCACGAGAACACGATGTTGGATCCGGCGGGAGCCGTTGTTGTCGTTCGGGGGCCAACGACCAAATTCTGATATTCAAGGTTTTCCCTGATACAAGAAACATGATGCGAGCCCCGGTAAGGGCAATTCAATCGAAGAACACCATGTGCCCCAGAGGGGGGATCAATAGTAATTGTTCGATAGAGATGATGATTCAACAGCAACAACAACAAGCGTAAGACTGTTCGCTCCTATCGCTCACGTGCCAATCGAGACGTCTGTCCCAACACCTCGGTGCCCACCCTCGTGTCGTCTTCGATCGTACCCCCTTGGGGGTATATCTTCCTTACCTGCCACATGCATGTAGTGCAGTCCTTAATGCAAGGGCCGAAAAGACGGGTGGAAGGGGGGAGAGAGAAGACTGTAACACGAAAGAAATTAGCAGGAGGGGGGGCAAGGAGCAGAAAACAAGTGGTAGAACCAGACGGGCAGATCGGGTGGGCAGACCCATAGTGGACAGGTCGGGAAGGCGGGCCAAGGCGACGAGGTCGAATAAGCGGGTTGCTGATGCGTGGGTCCAGAATGAATCTCGTAGAATTTTCGAGCGATAGCGCGATTCCCAAGTACATCGTGAGGAGAAAGCCAAAGCGAGAGCGTGATTCCTGAGCGCCGAGGGCGCATCGTCTGAATAACTAATGAGGAAGTCCCACGCGAGAGTTCGATTCGTATACGAATTGTGACGAAATCCCGCGCGAGAGCACGTGTTGGGAATATATTGTGAGGAAATATAAGGCGGGAGCCGCTGTTGCTGCGAATCGGGGGCCAACAACCCAGGTTTAGCTTAGCGGCTTCCTTGTTTAAAAGCCGGGTGCGAGCCCCGGGGGAAGCACTTCAATTGAAACATGCAAGAGTCACCAGAGGGGGGATCAGCAATAATTCTTCGTTGGTGAGAGTTCAACCATCACCAGATTAACAACAACAACAACAACAGCAGCAAATCCGTAGCCATTTTGGCTCAAGTTTTGGCTCAAGGCTCTGAGGCCCAAGGGCATTTGATTGCTTCTGGGACGCTTATGCAAAAGGCACCCGCAGAAATGGCAGGGGAATCAGTTGAGGGTCATTCGCCTTGCGAAGCTGGCAGAGCCCAGAGAGCTGTAACAAGCTTCCGGCAAACTTTTTCCACGTTTCCAGAGGAGTTGCGAATTTTGATGCAATCACGCGAATTCCTTCAGCCGCCTACTAGTTCACGAGCTTGCCGCGCACATGAGGCGGATCCCAGGCTTGAGGACAGACTGAAAGAGCTAAAGTCCATGGAAGAGAGCCTGGGCGAGCAAAGCTTCCGAGGCCAGTACGCTGTGTGTCGAGGTGCAGGCGACGATCCCGAGACATTCATCGCCAAGGTGGACGCAGCTCTTATCTATTACAGGAAGTCCAAACTGGAGCTTCGACGCGAGGCAGGTCAGAAGCAAGAGCAGGCGGGTTGCGTTATGGATACCTTCAACATTGTGGTAATTGGAGGGGGACCAACGGGCCTTTTGTGCGCTATTGAGGCAGCCATTTTGGGGCACCACGTGGACGTTGTCGAGACCCGCCCGAGCGCTGTTCGGGCTCGTGCCGTTGGCTTGTATCCCGAGACAATGGTCACGCTCGCCCGGCTTGGAGCTCCAGCAGAGATGTTCAATGACAACTTACTCTGGTGTGACAAGGCAGGCGCCACGATCTTCGATCTGGAGTTCTTTCTGTCCCAAATTGCACTCAAACTTGGCGTCACCATTTACCGGAATGCCACAGCTGTCGTTACCGATTCGATTTCCCAGGGAGTCTTGCAGGTGAGGCGTCGTTTGGCAAGCGGTAGGACTGTGCATGCTGAGGGTGACGAGCTCGGTCTGGTGCGACTCCGCCATTCGACCCAGCAGGTCTTGGCAATTGAGTCGTTTGAGCTGAGCTTCGACAAGATTGTCAATTGCGAAGGGAGCACCAAGCGTGACTTCTCAGAGGCCCTTGTTGGCGACAAAGGTAATGCTTCTGCCTCTATGATGGCAACTGCGGCAGATACCTTGGAGGTGGTTGGCATGGACCGCCAGGCATACTTGACAGGGTGGGACAGTCACATTGACAAGGTGATCAATGAGGTGGATTGGATAGGCTTCACCGAAGCTCTACGTGATGGTTCAGTACCTTGCGAAGTACAATGCTTCGTATGCAACATGCCGCGGCAGGTGTTCAGAATGGGCCCTCGAGATGATGGCCTGGGCGACTATGAGGTACCACATCTCATGGCAAGTTGTCCAGTCGATTGGATTGCGGTCCCTGTGCCGCCAAACCAGTCGAAAAGTTTCAAGATTCGTGGGGCAATGCAAGCTGACCCGACTTCGAAAGGTCAATTATATTCTGTGGCCAGCTCAACCAAGGATGCCAAAGATGAATATTCCAAGGGTCTTGCGGCTTCTTTTGGTTTGGAGGACAAGCTCATCGAACGTATACAATTTGAAGGAATGTTCCTTGGTAGCGCAAATCATATCTTGAACAACAAAAAGCCATTTGAAGTCTTTACGGCTCTTTTGAGAGCTCTCGACGTCATCGATGATGTAGACGATCGTGGTCTCTCGCAGTTCATGTCTCAAGAGAACGGCTTTGACAGCCCAGCTCAAAACGCGATGGGTGTTTTCAAGGCAGCCCCAGTAGCCCTGCGCACGGAGCATGTCATCCCTAACTTGTCCGAGGAGAAACGTCAATTTGCACAATTGGCGCACGGATTTGTACCTTGCTCGAAACATCGTGATCATATCGAGTACTTCATCCTTGGGGATTCATTACATTCAGCTTGGTATCGTTGGGGTGTTGGCTTGCTGGATGCCGCGCACAGCGCCAAAGTATTCGGTCAGAGCCTGCTCGAGCACAGCTTTGAAGGCCGGTCAAAGTGCATGCGGGCGCTTGAGAGTCGGATGGCAAAGCGTGCGGTGCATACCATGGCTTATTTCTATCATTTTAATTCTCGCCTTGCTGAGGACCATCGCATGCTGCGCTTCGTGAAGGAGTTAGATTCTAAGCAAAGTGCTGAAGTCTTGTGTCCCGCCGTACCACCAGTCTTGGGCGTTTCACCCCAAAGTGCGGTCCATCACGTGGTTGAATTATCTGACAGCTTAAAGCGCAACCGCCTTCGACGCCAGCGACCACAACGACGACGCTTCCTCAGTTGACCACGTGCGGGATGGCATCCCAGTGCGAGGCAGTCACATGCCTGCCACAGACCACCACCATGCACACAGGCTTTACAGGGCTGAGCTTGATCCGAAGTTCAGGGCCTGGCATGACAACATGTAGTGCAGTTGCTTTGCCAGAAGATGCGGGGCACAATTACCAGAATTTCAGGCGGGGGCGTCCCCTGACCACGAAGCTTGCGGACCGCGTACAGTGGCGAGCTCTTGGCTTCTAGGCACCGGGCCTTGTCCCTGATGCACGCCGCAGGACCAGGAAGAAACATGTTGCCTCGAAGCACATCGGAAAAAAAAGCAGCAACAAGTTCCATTTGAGGACTGTGTGCTTTTGTCTGCTCGCGTGCCATTCAGCCCGTATACCAAGTACTCGATACCCGCCCGCTTCGTCTTCGATCGTGCCCCCGTTGGGGTATGTCTTGCAGGGCCTGCAACGTGTATTTCATGCACCCCCTACGGCAGGGGAAGACAGGACGTATGGAAGGAAGGGACAGGGGGAAGGAGGAGGATGGAGCGCGAGAGAGAATAGCAGGAGTGGGCCTAGATCGGGCGGGTAGACCCTAACGTGCGGGTCGGGAAGGCGGGCCCAGGCGGCCAGGTCGAGCAGGCTGGTTGCTGAAACGTGCGTCCTGCATGAATCGCGAAGAAGTTTTGGGCGAGAGCGCGATTCCCAAGTAAATCGTCTGGAAATCAACAGCGAAAGCGTGATTCCTGAGTGTCGAGGGCGCGCCGTTTGAATGAATTTCCAGGAAGTCGCACGCGAGAGCGCGATGTTGAGGAAGTCCCGCGCGAGAGGGCGATGTCGAAATACGCCGCGATGAAGAAGTGTAAGGCGGGAGCCGTTGTTGTTGTACCTCGGGGGCCATGGGTCCAGTTTGGTGGCACCTCGGTTTCCCTGAGAAAGTACAGGGTACAGGCCCCGCGAGAAGCATTTCAATTCAAAACATACATCCGTTACCGGGGAGGGGGATCAATAACAAGTATAGTTTAGAAATGAGAATTCAACATCGACAACAACAATCAGTATAAGATTTTCGCGTTACTGGTTCGCGTGCCATTCAACACGTACATCCAAAACCCTCGATGCCCGCCCTTTTCGTTTTCGGTTGTCTCCCCTGGGGGCCTTACGTGCCGCGTGCAGTTGATGCAGGCCCTGGAACAGTGGAGGAGAAGACGGATGGAAGGGGGAGGGGGAAGGATGGAACGCGGGATTAGCAAGAGGGGTGCGGGGAACAGAAAACACGTGGCAGAACCAGACGGGCCCATCGGGCTGGCAGACCCTAACGGGCGGGTAGGGAATGCGGACCCAAACGGCCAAGTCGAGAAGGCGCGTTGCTGAAGCATGACTACTGCATTTATCGCGAGGCAGTTTCGAGTGATAGCGGGATTCCAGGTATATCGTGAGGAAGGCCAAAGCGAGAGCGTGATTCTTGAATGTCCAGGGCGCGGCGTCAAAAGAACTTGTCTGGAAGCCCAACGCGAGAGCGCGATTCCCTATACACTGTGAGCAAGTCTCGCGCGAGAGCGCGATGTCGGAATAACTTGTGAGGAGGTCTATGGGGGGAGCCGTTTTTCTTGCAGCTCGGGGCCCCAAAACGCAGTTTGGTGGCACCAAGCTTCCGTTTATAATCAGCAGGGTGCGAGCCCGAAGGGGTCATTTCAATTGAAAAGGTAGAATGGTTACCGGAGAGGGATCAACAACCATAACCTTTTAGAACTGGACAGAACGGCGCCCCCCAAGAGGAGGGGGCGACCTCGGGGGGTTCGCTATGAGGGGCGATTACTGTCAAAGAGGAAACCATGTGTGTCAACGTGAATTTCTGGAGGTCCGCGCGCGGATATTTCTGAGATCGGCGCTGGGCAGCCCTGGCGGCGCGTCCAGCGCCGCCCCTTATCGCGTGCGCCTCGCGCCAGGCAGGGGAGCCAAGCGCCGATCCGAGAAGTCCGCGCGGACCTCCGAGAGCCGTCGTGCTTGCGCCCTCGCCTGCGGCAGCTCTGGCCGAGGGCCGCGGGAGGGTGGCCCACAAGGGGGTCCCGTGGGGCCCTCGGGGTGCACAGACGGCGCACCGTCTTGCATCTCCCCCCCCCCCTTGCTTGATGCCCCCCCCCCAGTGGGCAACGCCCGACTGCCAGAACTCGGGCCGCCGCCCCCCCCCCCAGTGGGCAACGCCCGACTGCCAGAACTCGGACCGCCGCGGGGCCCACAGGCTGTGAGGGAAGCGGGCCCCGAGCGTTTATCTCGCCGCTTGCGGGCTCTCGGGGCCCTTCTCTTCAGCCCCGCAGCCGTCCAAGTGGACTGGTCCCGGGGGGGGAGCCTGGGCTCTCGGGCGGGTGGTAATGGGGGGTGGCCTTAATTCGAGTAGGGGATCGACTACATCATGTATGTGCCCACAATTCAATCCCACGTCGATTCTACGGCAAAAATGCGTACAATGCTCGCAGATCTACGAACGTTCTACACAAATTCGTTGGACGCGACGAGAATCAACAATGTTGGGGTAAATCGTTGGTGTAGTCGACCTCCTACTCTATTGAAGGGGGGTGAGGGAACGGCCCTAGAAGGTCCCTTTAGGGCCCCTGGCGGCTCCAAAAGGGGCCCTAAACGGCCCTTTTAGGGTTTTTGTTCCTGCCCCAATACCACCCACCCGAGACCCGTGAGTTTCTTGCCACCGAGGTGCGAGGATCGAGGTCACACGGGGAACGCGAAGACAAGCGCGCTGCGCTGCACGCATCGTGGTCTGGGCCAGGGCGCTTGCCGTTCTCCAAAGGGGCGCCGCGAGGCCGCGGGGGCGCGAAGGCGAAGCTCGGTGGCTCGTTTCCCTTAGGACCCGGCTTCTTCACGCCAAAGGAGCGCGAGAGTGAAGTGGAGGGGTTCGATTCCTACCCCTTGTCCTCCCTTCCTCCCCGTCCTCCTCCTCCTCCTCCTCCTCCTCCTCCTCCTCCTCCTCCTCCTCCTCCACCCGCTCCCCCATCCTATTTTTCCTCGTCTTCCGCCTCCTCCTCCTCTTCCTCCTCCGCCTCCTCATCCTCCCCCTTCTCCCTCCTCCTCCTCCTCCTCCTCCTCCTCCTCATCATCATCATCATCATCATCATCATCATCCGCCTCCTCTTGGTCCTTCGCTTTCTCCGTTTCCTCCTCCTCCTCCTCCTCCTCCTCCTCCTCCTCCTCCTCCTCCTCCTCCTCGCCCACCCGCCCAGAGACCCGCGGCCGCCGCCCAGGCCCTCGATCCTTGATTCCGCCCTCGCCCTCGCCGCTCCTCCCCAAGTCCTCCTCCTCCTCCTCCTCCTCCTCCTCCTCCTCTCCTCCTCCTCCTCCTCCTCCTCCTCCTCCTCCACCTCTCCTCCCCCCACCTCCCCGTCTCTCCTCCTTCCACCGTCGTCTCCCACCCCTCTTCCCTCTCCCTCTCATCCCCTCCTCATGCTCCTTCTCCGTCACCTCCCCGACCTAGACGACGACAACCCTCCACGACGACTTCTCCTGGACGACGACGGCGACGACGACGACAACGACCCGCCACGAGGCCCCGCGGCAGGCGCAACCGCCCGTCTGCCCGGGCGGCCCGGGCTGGCCGAGTTTCGACTGGTCCCAGCGCAGCGCCAGCCCCAGCGCGGCGCAGCGCAGCGCGGCCCCGGCGGGAGGCCGCCGCGCGCGGCCTGGCGGAGCGTCGAAGTTTCTTTTCCAACAT